CTAAACGTATTAACACAGAGCGGTATTTTCAATAAAGGGTTCGGGGACTCTACCCCCCGATCGGAACCCTATAATTGACTCAGGTAACCCTAAATCTACCGGGGGCATCGATGCCGCATCCCTACTCTGCGACATACTTAACCGGCAGCTAACCCTTGACCCACCTCGTGACACTTACCAACGTGGGTGGGGACATGACTGTCTCAACGCCACAGACATAGTTTGCTCGTGGACCCTCACAGTACAAGACCTGAATCACAAGCCAACCTCAATCACGTTTGACCTTACATCTGACAATTCGCCGCTCACTGTCGGAATGGACATCACTCAGTACTCACGACTGGACTTCATGACATATCCGTGCACTTGGACCATCTCACGGCCATCAGACAACTGCCCCCGACAACTCCCAATATACGTAAAACGGGAGTAAATTCGAGAAACGACCACGTCTCCTCGTCGTACCCGAACTGCATTCCCACAAGAATCGTACGAACTCTTTCATGGCTCACTCCAACGTTATCAGCCTCCAACGACCCATGACACTGGCCACTCGCTTACATCGATAAACTCATGCGAATGCTAATAGCCTGATCGGTATCTGTCGCGAAGACGGATGGCTCAACCCAAATCTGACATCCGCAATCCATCAAGTTTGCGAATCCTGCCGGATCTGCTCAGAATCTGGGTTTCCAAAGTCGTCGAAGAAAGTTTCATTGACACATGTGAACGAGGCATTCAATCAAGAGGTACAGATAGACTTCACTTTTTGTACCATTCGCGAGGCAAAGCATACTGTATTACATCTTGTAGATACCGGCACTGGCTATTCGGAAGCAGCCATACCCACATCACGCAAAGCGGAGACCATCATAGACACATTCGAAACCCAATGGCTACACCGACACGGCGCGCAACTTTCCGTCTTTGCCGACGACGAGATGCATAATCAACCATGCAAAACATTCTTTGGCGCCCATTCAATATGGTATAAGCCACGACCAGCCCGCCGCCACAACAAAACCGGTATTGTCGAAAGAAAAAACGGCACGCTCAAATTGATTCTCGAACGGTTGCGAAAAGAACCGACCAGAGCCTCCGACCACGTTATCCTCTCACGGGCAACCTTCCTTTCAAATCATTTCTCCGGGTCGCGCATTTTAAGTTCATTCGAACTAGCGCGCAGCTATTCGCCATCGATGGCGGCGAGCAATTTGGGGACGCCGAGGAAGGC